CACACAGCAGCACTTCCAAAGCTTTCCAAGGTACCCGAGGGCATCTCTCACCCCCTGGACTGTTCCCACTGCCCACCCTCTGCGTGTCCCCCCCGACCAGGACACCCTGGGATCCAGGGGGGATTCTGGGCACCGTGTGACCCTCCTGCAGCTCCGCACGCCCCCAGCCCATCCTCGCATTAGGATGCGGCGCATGGCCGGCATTTGGATACCAAATGTGCAACCAGCAGGGAATGTAATTGCGGTCCCTGGAAAGGGACAGGCGGAGACGGAGACGGGCACGGAGAGAGAATCCTGTCAGCGACGCCGGCCCGGTGGTGTCTGCTCTCCATTAACCACTCGCCGCAGCCCTGGGCTGGTGAGGAATTGCTAACACGGCTTAACGGGCTGGAAAAGAGGGGTGGGAAGGGCTGGGAGTGATCTCGGCACAAAGGGAGAACAGAAGGAGGAAAACTAAAAGAGCAGGAATTGCACAGGACGAGGCCGAGCTCTGGCACACCCAAACACACGGAGAGGGGCCTCGGGCTGATGGTGGTACAGGAACAACCCGAGTGCCAGGGTGAAAATCCACATTAAAATCACTCCAAGGGGGAGACAGGGCATGTTTCTTTCAGGGGCTGATGTGGGCCCCAGTATGATGTTCATGGGAGCAGGGAGGGGAGACACAGAGAACTGGGGACACGTAGCAGTGAGGGTGACCCCAAAAGTCTCAACCAAAGCCAGGACACAGAGGTTTTGGATCCAGCCCCAGCCCAACATGGAGACATGGGTGGGATCGCCCAAGCTGAGCCCGCTCACTCGGCCACCCCTCTGCAGCACCAAATTCCCCTGGAAAAAACAGATGTGGCATCCTCTTCACTCCCTTGATGGAGAAGTGGGACATGCAGCCACCAGCGGCCTGGCCACAGCCCCTCGTGACACAGGTGGGCAAGTTGGCCCTGGCTTGGGTGGTCAGTGGGTCACAGCCACGGCTTTCCTGGCCACGGCCACCGTGCTCCAGCCTCTTGGATAAAGCACCAGAGACCGGCAGGCGCCAGGGCTGCAGCTCTAGGGGATGGGAATGCAGGAAAAAGGGGAACAAAATCCAATGGGATTGGGAACATGATCGAAATCACCTCCAAGATGTGCCCCACTCACCTCAACTCCACCGCCACTGTGGCAGAGGCACCTTTCCCCCCTAAAGTCCTGCTCTGCCATCACTGCCGGCCCTGAGCATCACCTGGCTCTGTAAATCCCCCAGCCAGAAACCATTTCTCTGGTTCTCGATCCTGGGATTGGGGAGTGCAGAGGAGCAGAACAGAAATCCCAGCTGTGCTCACAAACCACACCGAAAAATAATACAGAAATCAGCAAAAGAACCGTTCGGAGGCAGCGCCGTGACCTCGACGTTAAACCAGGCCACGGGCACGATCCCGCCCGGTCCCGGGGATCTGTGCCATGAACGGAGGGAGGAGAACCCCTGTCACACTGCACATTCCTGCCATGGATCCAGGCACACAGCAGTGACCACGGGATTGCTGCAGGAACACCGACCAGCATTCAGGAATGACGATTCCCTGCCCGTCACCCGGCTGTCGGCAGAGCGGGGTACGGCAACAAATCCCAAACCCTTCATCCTTCCTTGGCCTCCCAGGGGTTTCCAGCATGGCCACAAGACCATGGGTCAGGATCACAGGCCTGGGGACCTTCTGAGGACAGGTCACTCCTTCCCACAGACCCTTTCCCCCATAGCATGGAGGTTTTCCCAGATCCCTGATTTTTTGTCGCACGGTGCCGCGTGCTGAGACGTTCACCCTAAACCCACTGCGGTGGGGGGGGGCAATGGGGGCAAAAACTGGACACCCCAACCTGCTGGTGATGCTGGACACTCCAGCACACCCAAATCCAGCTGGTTGGCTCCCAAGGAAAATCCACCCTGGAATCCTACGGGTGAGCGGATCCTGCACCACCAGCTGGAAAACACGGAGTGACGGCGGGAAGAGCCCTGGGTGTCGTGGCAGACCCCTGCCCGCAGTGCCAGACCCCTGCGGTGGCCGCTAATGCGGGGAGGAGCCCCAAGGTCCCATCCACAGGCACATCACCCTGGACAAGACCAATGGATCCACCCATGACCGGCCCAGCCATGGCCAACAGATCCACACCCGGAGAGCGACCATCGGCAGCGCCTGTACGTGCCATGGAGCAAAAACCCACACTTCCACATGGTAACAAAACTGCCCATTATTATATAATTCTACCTTCATCATCCTTCATTTTTTTTTCCTGGATAAGCCAGGAGTTCCATCCAGCCAAACGTTTTCCTAGCGCATCCTTACAAAATCATTTAAAAATAAAAATAAACCTTGTAAATCCACAGCGACTGGTTAAATCTCTCCCCAGAACAGGGAAATTGCAGCATCCCGAGGTACCACTTATTTTTAATTTAGCCCCAATTATGAAATATAGAATTATTCTAATCTGGGCAAATCATATCGACCACGAGATTTATTCCTGTCTTTTATAAAATATAGATTGCTGTATAAACCTGAAGAAAAATATTTAGCGGCAGAGAAGGTCTGTGGGTTCAAACAGGACATTTTAACCTTGGGTCTTTTCCCCCTTTTTTTTTAAACCCCTTTTTATTTCCCCCTTACTAAATGAGGTGTTGGTGGGGGGATGAAAGAATGAAAACAAGCGACCAGAACACACAGAAATACATTTTTTTCTTCATTTTTAAGAAAGAGGCGGTCTTGTAGTAACTCCAGAGAAAAAATAAACCCACCGCTGGGTTCAAAAAGGGAATAAGCAGGAAACTCAATGGCAATTTCAATCTTTGCAACCCCTAATAAATTGCCTCGAATTCCGAGAGCCGAAAGCGCAGGCGGGGAGCGCTGGCGACACGGGGCGCTCCCACATTGGGGAAATTTGGGTCACATCCCGGAGCCAGGCGCTGCGGACGTGCCTGCTGAACCCACCAGCCATTGTCTGCTCTCCCCTCCCAGCCCCTCGCGCTTCCCTCCACTCCATTTTTATTTTCCCCCCCTCCTCGAAAATATTTTCCCTGCCAACAGCAGATTTAGAAATGTATAAATATATATGGAATAATGATCCACTGTGGATTTTTCGAGGAGAAATTCTCAGCGGCTTCTACGAGGGGGCGAAGGGGATGGAGCCGGCGCCATCACCGGTGCTGGGTCCCGGGACGCCCGTCACCAGCGGCCAAGGGGCTGCTTTTGGCTCTTGGCACCACTGTCGGCACCCCTGGGTGCCAAATCCCATCCCCAGGAACCCCTGGGTGCCAAACCCCCAACGTCAGAACCTTTGGGCGCCAAATCCCAGCCACGGGAACCTTTGGGTGCCAAATCCCAGCCACCGCCCCAACCACCCTCATTTCCAGGATGTCAGAGTCGGACTGGGGGGAGACACCTCACACATGTTTGGCATTTGGGAGAAAAAAAATACAAAGTGTGGGAGCTTGTGGGGGGAGCACCAAGAGCTGAAATCAAAAACTTCGCAATGGGCAAAAAAAAAAAAAAAAAAAAAAAAAAAAATAAGGAAAAAAAAAATAATTCCCTGGCTCTTACAATCCCCCACAAAAATGTGAGGGAGATAATAAAATCCATATGCACCACAGGCGGCCCACGACGCAGGCACCACCGCCAAGGCACAAAGGGACGGGCTCGCCCCAATTTTGGGGCAGACAGAGGGGCACGGGTGGGTCCCCCCAAAGGGACGTGTGGAGGTTGGATGGACACCGGGTGCTGCTGAGGGTCCTTGGCCCCGTGCACGTCCCAGCGCCGAAACACCGCCAGGAACTTTACCCAGCTGCACTGGTGTCATCGAGGGAGAGGAGGTGGCACCAAGGGTCCCCTCATGGATGGCAGCAGGGGATGGGGCACCCGGAGCTGGAGGAGCTTCCTCACGTCACTGGCAGCCCTGGGGACAAGGACCAGGCCATGCCGTGCCCCACAAGGCCACTTGTCACACAGGGATTGAGGGGGACAAAGAATCCCCTGCCTGACCCAGAAAACAGGACAGCCCAAAGCCGGGGGCCACAGGGGCTGCACCCGCCAAGCTCGTCCCTCACCACTCACAGACACTGCCAGGCTTGGGAGAACTTTGAGGAATTTTGGGGGAAACGGGGATTTGATGGCTGGTGTTTGTTTTTACAGGAATCCCCACAAACAGACCCCAAAGAGTGTCCCCAACAGGGAGAGCGGGGGATCCCAAGGGTCCCAACCACCTGAGCATTCCCAGAGCAGAATTCCTCCCGCTTCCAACTCACCAGCAGTTTTGGGTTCCTCAAAATCATGAACAAAGAAATACGACAGAAACAAAACTCTTGCCCCCAAAGAAAAAACACTTGGTGGGGAAAAAACACACAGAAAAAATTGAAATTCCAACTGGAGTCAGGAAACGAAGCCAACTATGGGGATTGCACTTCCAGGATGGGAATGACCCGGGAGCAGCAGGGCCGGCCATCCCCAGCTCCGCACGCCCCGTGCCCCCCCCAGGCCCGTTTTACCATTTCTCCCCCAAATCGTTCTTTCCGACTCCCCCGCAGCCGCACCCGCGCTTTGGGCGGATTTCGGGGTTTTTTCGCAGAACCTTCATCCCCGGAGAGGGACCGGGGGGAGACGGGGTGGTGGGGGGAAGAACTTGAACTTCCCCGAAGTTGGGCGCAGAGGGGCCGGGGGGGCCGAGCCGCAGCCCCCGCCGCCCCCGGGAACGCGCCCCGCGCCCGGCGATGCTCCCGGCGCTGCCGCAGCCCCCGGGGACGCTCCGCCCGGGGCCCCGCGGGAACTTTCGGGGGGAGGGAGCCCCGGGGACCACCCCCCTCCCCGGGGCCGCCCATCCCGTTCACCGGACCCCACCGGGGGCTCGAGGGGGGCCCGACCCGCCACGGGCGGCGGCGGCCGCTGTCACCGGGCGGCAGCGGGCGCTCGGCGGGTGTGTATACGGGGGGAAAACACCGACTGGAACTCGGGCGCCGAGGCCGCCCCCGCCGCCCCCCGCCTCACCTGGGATTGCTCCGGTTCCAGTAGACGGCGAACCGGTCCGAGATAACTTTCCCGGTCTCGTCGGTCCAGACGCAGACGCCGAGCAGCGCGGCGAGCAGCGCGGCCGCCCCGCAGCGCACCATCGTCCCGGCGGGCGGCGGGCGCGGCTCCGGCCGCTTCAGGGGGCGGCGGGGCCCTGGGGCCGGCCGGG